GCTCCGCTCTGGCGCCCCTCATGGTGTGTCGCGTGCGAGTGTTGTGCGTGCACAGGGCTGACGAGCATGGTATGACCGTGACTACAGGTGGGCACTATTCCGCTGGGGACGGGCAACGACTTGGCGCGACAGTTCGGTTGGGTGGCTCCGTCTATCCCAATCGCAAGAAGGTGCTCAAGCTCGTCTACAAGTTCGCCACCTCGGCCTGCCTCACTCCGCTCGACATGTATGTCACCGCTTCTCTCCCTCTTCTTCTATACCACATCCACCTCTCGCTCGCCAGCTGGCCGAAGGTGGTGTTGATGATGGTGAGGTGTGTGCCCGCTAATCCTCTCTATCGCTGACGCGGATGCGTACGTAAGTTGGATGGTGAAGATCACGCCCAAGGACCCGGAGACACTGGAGCCCTTGGAGAACGAATCCACGTCGCAGATCATGTTCAATTACTTCAACGCCGGGTTCGAGGCCGGCGTATCGTACCGCTTCGACCGCTTCAGGAAGAGACACCAAAAGCTCTTCAAGGCCCGCAAGGTGAACCAGATTGGGTACGTCCCTTTGTATCGAGTCTAGTCGCGCCGTCTTGGCCCAGTCGCTGATATGCTTGTGCGCCGTTCGCAGTTATGGCCTCAGTGCCCTGTCCTCGACCATGCGTGGAGGCAACCAGTCACTCAACAACCTGGGTGGAGATGTACGTCAACGGCAGCAAGCTCGAAACGCCCGAAGACCTCAAGACGCTCGTGGTGCTCAACTTCAAGAACTATCAAGCGGGTCTCGATATCTGGGGCAAGCCGAAGAGGGCCGGCGTCTCGGCGGAGCCCGTTTTTTGACGACCAGATCGCTGAGGTGGTGGGCCTCGGCGGCGTCCGACACGAGCTCAAGGTCCGATCGCACATCCGCAAGGGCTACCATCTGGCCCAGGGGTCGAGCATCAAGATCAACGTCTTCACCGACATCCCCATCAACTACGACGGCGAGCCCTTCATCCAGCGCGGCCCCTGTGAGGTACCCTCTCTCTCTCTCTCTCTCTCTCACACACACACACACACACAACGCACACGCACACGCAGTCTTTTCGTGAGCTCACGTGATTCCTTTGGTTGTTTGTCAGATTCACTTGGAGCCGTGGTGCCTGGCCTACATCCTCACCAACCCCAAGGTGGACCTCGATGTCAACATCTCCTCGGCGAGCGTGCCCACCCGCACGCCCGGCGCCCACCGCGAGTCGAGCGCCTCCGCTGCCGAGGAGGTCTACAGATAAACACGTGGTACCACCCAAGTGTAAATAGAAGGAAGATAGCGATGTAAATACAGGAAGACCTCCTCTTCCATTACTAGTCGCCCAGGCTGTTTGTTGGCTTCTTGCTGCTCTTCCGCAGGCTTGTCTCCTTGCTCTTCTCCTTCTTGGCCTTCTCCTTCTCCTCCTTCCTCTTCTGCTTGGCCTTCTCCTTCTCCTTGCTGCTCGACAGGGCCGCCTTGTGCTCCTTCTTCGCCTTCTTCTCCTTTTCCTTCTTCTTTTCCTTCTTCTTCTCCTTGCTGCTCGACAGGGCCGCCACCTCCCTGCTACCGGATGGGGAGGAGGTGGCGGACGGCGGTTTCGCGGGATGGACTGACGAGCGAGGGGAGAGGACGGGCAGCAGGTCGACGGGCGCGGGGGTGAGCACGTCGTAGACGTTGTCCCGCTCGCCCTCCCGGAACTCGACCAGCAGCTGGCGGTACTTGGACCCCGTCAGCGGCGCGAGGAGGCCCAGGGTGGCCTGGTAGGTCTTGACCAGCTTCTTCAGCGTGGGGAACACCTGGTCCTCCTTCAGCCAGTAGCCCCGCCCGGGCGAATGACTGCACACGACACACACGACCAACGACACACACGACACACACGACCAACGACACGACACGCAAACCTGTGAGCACCGACCCACAGGAAGATGGGGCGACGGGGTGGACCTGATGCGGAAGCTCTGGATGTTGTCTTTGGAGGCGAGAGTGGTGATGGTGAAGAAGCCCGGTTGCAGGCCGCTGAAGCGGATGACGTGCGAACCGACGGCCTTGCCCGCCAGCAAGATGCCCATCTGCTCCGACGACGCGTCGCCATAGAAGCCCCTGAAAGCGAA